GATGGACTGGTTGGAAGTCCTTGCAGTCCAAGGGACTCTCAAGAGTCTTCTCCAACACTACAGTTCAAAAGCATCAGTTTTTCGGTGCTCAGTTTTCTTCACAGTCCAACTCTCACATCCATACATGACCACTGGAAAAACCATAGCCTTGACCAGATGGACCTTTGTTGGCAAAGTAATGTCTCTGCTTTTTAATATGCTATCTAGGTTGGTCATAACTTTCCTTCCAAGGAGTAAGCGTCTTTTAATTTCATGGCTGCAATCACCATCTGCAGTGATTTTGGAGCCCCCAAAAATAAAGTCTGACACTGTTTCCACTGTTTCCCCATCTATTTCCCATGAAGTGATGGGACCAGATGCCATGATCTTAGTTTTCTGAATGTTGAGCTTTAAGCCAACTTTTTCACTCTCCTCTTTCACTTTCATCAAGAGGCTTTTTAGTTCCTCTTCACTTTCTGCCATAAGGGTGGTGTCATCTGCATATCTGAGGTTATTGATATTTCTCCCGGCAATCTTGATTCCAGCTTGTGCTTCTTCCAGCCCAGCGTTTCTCATGATGTACTCTGCATATAAGTTAAATAAGCAGGGTGACAATATACAGCCTTGACGTACTCCTTTTCCTATTTGGAACCAGTCTGTTGTTCCATGTCCAGTTCTAACTGTTGCTTCCTGACCTGCATACAGGTTTCTCAAGAGGCAGGTCAGGTGGTCTGGTATTCCCATCTCTTTCAGAATTTTCCACAGTTTATTGTGATCCACACAGTCAAAGGCTTTGGCATAGTCAATAAAGCAGAAATAGATGTTTTTCTGGAACTCTCTTGCTTTTTCGATGATCCAGCGGATGTTGGCAATTTGATCTCTGGTTCCTCTGCCTTTTCTAAAACCAGCTTGAACATCTGGAAGTTCACGGTTCACGTATTGCTGAAGCCTGGCTTGGAGAATTTTGAGCATTACCTTACTAGCATGTGAGATAAGTGCAATTGTGCGGTAGTTTGAGCATTCTTTGGGATTACCTTTCTTAGGGATTGGAATGAAAACTGACCTTTTCCAGTCCTGTGGCACTGCTGAGTTTTCCAAATTTGCTGGCATATTGAGTGCAGCACTTTCACAGCATCATCTTTCAGGATTTGAAATAGCTCAACTGGAATTTCATCACATCCACTAGCTTTGTTAGTAGTGATGCTTTCTAAGGCCCGCTTGACTGCACACTCCAGGATGTCTGGCTCTAGGTGAGTGATCACACCATTGTGATTATCTGGGTCGTGAAGATCTTTTTTGTACAGTTCTTTTGTGTATTCTTGCCACCTCTTCTTAATATCTTCTGCTTCTGTTAGGTCCATACCATTTCTGTCCTTTATTGAGCCCATTTTTGCATGAAATTATTTACTGTGAGGCTCAGGCATAAAATCTTTTATTAGAGAAGTCATGATTATGTACAGATGTGTATAATTTTGATCTGATATTCAAATGCTTGTTTTCTCTTCTAGTTGCTAAGTTAATTATTCACTTAATGAACAGCTGAACTGAACTGTAGCCTAAATGCAGACTCTGGTTAACAATTCTTCTTTTTAATTGAGGACAATGACATATGTATTGGTTTTAGGTATACAGTATAATGCTTTGATATATGCATATATTGCAAAGTGATTGCCACAGTAGTCTGGTTAACATCCATCACCATATGCTTAGAATGTTTTTCTTGTGATGAGAACTTTTAGGATCTGTTCTCTTAACAACTTTCAAATATACAATATAGTATTGTTAATTATAGCAATCATTCCCAGGATTTATTTATCTGAGTGGAAGTTTATACATTTTAATTGCCTTCACTTCTTTCACCCATCCCCTGCTCTCTGCCTCTGGCACCACCAATCTGTTTCCTGTATCAGCTTCCCTGTCCTTCACCATCTCCTGGAGTTTGCTCAAACTCATGTCCATTGAGTCGATGATGCCATCTTACCATCTCATCCTCTGTCGTCCCCTTATCCTCCTGCTCTCAATCTTTCCCAGCATCAGGTCCTTTTCCAATGAGTCGGTTCTTTGCATAAAGTGGCCAAAGTATTGGAGCTTCAGCTTCAGCATCAATCCTTTCAACGAATCTTCAGGATTGATTTCCTTTAGGATTGGCTGGCTTGATCTCCTTGCTGTTCAAGGGACAATCATAACATAAACCACGAAAACGAAATACAAGCAATAATATTGGAAAGGAAGAGACAAAAGATAATTTTCAGATAATATTATTGTAAAACTAGGAAAGTCAAAGCAACTTGTCAAAAAAGTTTTAAATAATTTTGAGTATCAAGATAATTAAATAATTCTTATTAAAATAATGAAAAAGCAGCTGGACACAAAATATGACCTGCATATCAACAATAACTGATCAGAATACATACTATTATAGATATTACTTATAATCATTATCTATATGTTTCCTACATTAAAAAGCAGAGACATTACTTTGTCAACAAAGGTCCTTCTAGTCAAGGCTATGGTTTTTCCAGTGGTCATGTATAGATGTGAGAGTTGGACTATAAAGAGGGCTGAGCACAGAAGAATTGATGCTTTTGAACTGTGGTGTTGGAGAAGACTCTTGAGAGTCCCTTGGACTGCAAGAAGATCCAACCAGTCCATCCTAAGGGATATCGGTCCTGGGTATTCATTGGAAGGGCTGATGCTGAAGCTGAAAGTCCAATATTTTGGCCACCTGATGTGAACAGCTGACTCATTTGAAAATACCCTGATTTTGGGAAAGATTGAAGGCAGGAGGATAAGGGGACAACAGAGGATGAGATGGTTAGATGGCATCACTGACTCAATGGATATGAGTTTGGGTAAACTCCAGGAGTTGGTGATGAACAGGGAGGCCTGGCGTGCTGTGGTTCATGGGGTCGCAGAGTCGGACACAGCTGAGTGACTGAACTGAACTTCCTACATAATGTAAAATAAATTTATTAAGAATAACAACAAATGTTAAAAATGCTTACAAAGTAGCTTAATTTAGTGAATTTGACTTAAAGTTTTACTGAGAAATTTAAAAAAGGAATCACAAATAAATGAAACTATTATATTCCTGAATGAGAGACTATGATAAAGATGTCAGTTTCTCTCAAACTTAAGAGATTTTCATAATCCCATTGAAAAAAATCCAAATAGTAATTTTTATAAATGTTATTATAAAATTCAGCTGGAAAATTACCAGGAGTATTAATCAAAGAATTTTGTGAAAAATGAAGTATACTGAAATGGTTAGCCCTAATGGCCAAATATCAAAACATGTTAAAGCAACAATAATTAAAATAACATACTTCTGGACCCAAACTAGACAATTATTTTAATTGAAAAGAGTCCAGAAATACTCTATTTCTTATAAGAATTTAATAGAAGAGCTATCAGGAGTCAATAAGAAAGGTTGGTATTATGTAGAAAATTATATTGGATAATTAAATACTAATTTTGATAAAAGTACTGGTAGATCATTATTGCAATGGCTCCCACAGAATCATGTCTCCCTGTTTCTACATCCTTGTGTATCTAGGTATGGACATACCACAAAATTTTGGGTGGTTTGTTATACAGCAATTGACAATATCTTATAAAATCTTATAGAATATACTAAAATATATTCCAGAGAGTTGAAGAGTTAAATATAAAATTAAAAGAAAACAAAACTTTTGATTTGAGACCTATATGAACTTGAAGCATTCAGGTACAAGACATGCTGGGCATGTGCTAACTTTCTTATCTTCATCAGGGAAAGCCTGAAATCTGATTTGAGCCTGACCTTGAAGATCATATATAGTGCAAAAGCAAAAGAAACGAAATAGAAAGAGAGACAAGATACTGGGAAAAGCAACAGCATAAACTATGGCAAGGGTCAATATCACTTCTTTATAAAGATATCATTCAAATGCACATGTAAAACAAGCTATGAATGTAAATTTTACATCAGAGGACATACAGATATTTCATTAAAAAAAAAAGCATAAGGTCTTGATGGTAATTAAAGAACTAGAACAATCTTGAGGTAACATTTTACACCAAGGAATTGAGAGGGAAAAAAATGGTATAATTTGGTGTTCAGTTGCATATTTTGATGGCATTGTAAATTAGTACACTTTGGAAAGCAACATCATTCATAGCGATTAAAGCTTTTTTGTCTTTTGACTCAAGATACACATTCCAGGAAAATTATCCAAAGAAAAGAATTCAGAAATGCAAAAAAACTGTCCAAAGATAACTCTTTACAATATTATTTTAATACTGAAATTTAAAGACTGTGTATTGCCCAAAAGACGGGCAATTACTTTGGCTGAGGCCTCAGTAAGGGACGGAATTCCATGTCAGATTAAATGTTAAAATTACTAAGATTATGAAGCAGCATAAATACTTTTATGCCATGCTAGATGCAAAGCAGAATTTAAAACTAAATGGATATAATAAACATAATGGAATGAATACACATGATTTATTAAATCCTCAGACTCTGAGATGTTTTAGCTCTATAATTACAAAATAAACCAAAATGTAACTAATTTCTTCATGTTCATACGTTTAACAGGTAATAGACCCCTAGTACAATAGTTGGAGCGCTCACCCATCTTTTCATTTGCAATTGATCCAATTAACCACCTTTTTGTACCCCAAAGCTTACTCTCCCACATCACATATGCTTCATATAGTCAAAGAATGGGCAACACTAACCAAAAAAGGAAGTGATAGCTTCTTAAGGTTTATAGGCTCACAGTTTTTCTCCACTGCTTTTCAAAAAAGTTTTGAAACGTCCAGTTTATAATACAAAACCTGAAATTTTAGTTTAAGAGTCAGACTCAGTCCCATCTACCTGGGAAACGCAAGGACTGTGGGAAGCGCAGGTTTTTGAAGGCTGGCGAGTCGGCCGCCCTGTAGGAGGCGGGGCAAGTGTCGCAAAGAAAGGGGGGCGGGGAACTACGCAAACCCCGCCCCGTGCTGCTTTACGGCACTCGCCCCGCCTCTCCAGGTGCGCTGAAGCCGGCAAACATGGTCGACGCCTATTTTCTCAGCCAGGGTTTGACTACCCTGGCAGGGTTGTTGCTCTTGCCCTTCGGCAGCTTGGCCGCTAGTCAGATCGAGGTAGGAGTCAGGCCCTCTGAACGACAGGGCCCTGCGGGGGACAGCTGTGTCGTGGCCGTAAGCGTCCAGCAGATGTCCGATACACTGCTACGGAGGGAAGCCTCCTGGATCACCCATCAGCCAATTACTAAGCTGACTCTGCTGTGGGGAGGGTGTCGTAGGGAACGGGAGAGGACAGTGACTGTTTGTTTCAACCTTTTAAAATGGCGAATGAAAAGAATCAAGTCCTGGGCGGCGGGAGAGGGCCTGATCCTTTGCTCCGAAGAGCGTGCAGTCCCTAGTAGGTGAAAGGTCAGCTCTAGAGTGCCGCGCTTGCGTCCCCGCTACCAAACTACAGCGCTCTACTAGGAATCAGATGGGTACAGTGTTTTATTTTTGGCTCACACTAAGTTTTGACCAGATATAAAGACTTTACTCTCCCCTGTACTCTGATAACACCTTCGTCCAGTTCTGCAGCCTACATCTCTAGCATCATTTTTCAGAACAGCAGACGTTTGAAAATTTGTGTCCAAAGTTTTTATATTTGGACCTACCCCACCTCCTGTGGGGTTTCTCCTATGCTGGAAACCTAGGATTTAAAAAAAAAAAAGAAATGAACTCCTCTCTTTATTTCACATTTTAATCATCACTAAATTCTGTATTCTTAATTTTTAAAATTGCTTTCACTTCTTCAGTTCCACTGGCTTGATGCAGGCCCTCGTCTTTTCTTGCCTAGGCTTAGTAACCTTATCTTGTTTTCTTCAGGCTTCCAAATTCCTTCACTTTAGTCTTCATCAAAGTAAGTTTGATCAGATTATTCTTCAGATTGCATCCTTTAAGTATTTTTGCACGGAGTAAAATGTAAACATCATGATCTAGTCTCTGCCTATTTCCCAGTCTTCATATAGGAGCCCATTCTCTCCACCATGTCAGACGTTGAGCTTAGACTAATGCTGAAGGCTTTTTAAATACACAACTCTACCATTCAAAAAAGAAAGCCTGCATGCTTTCTTTATATTCATGAATTATTGCTAATTTATATTTCACTATTAATGAAGTGTGTTGTCTAGATAATATAAGTATGTATAGAAATTCTATTTTTCTTATATATTCTAGCAGATTATTCTGTATACTTTGTTTTGGATATTATTGCTCTTTTTTGTAGTTACATAGTTGTGCTTTTTTACATTCTAATGTGTTATTCTTCCTGTTTCTTAGTTTGCTCATTTACTAAACTGCAGTAAAAACTAACCCCTATAAAACCTTTCCCTATTCTTTATTTTGCATTTACTGTTGTAAAGTGTGCACTTGGCTAGTATAGCACTTGACTATCATATTATAACCCATGTATAGTTTGTACTTACTATTATTCCATCATCTTTCATTTATAGGGCAATAGCTGCCTACTTGGTCTGACTCAGGTCATTCTTTTTTCAATTCAGTCTGTTCTCCAAGCCTCAGCCAGAGTAACTTTTAAATACACAAATCTGACCATGTCACCTATATATACCTTAATGTTGTTTTAAGGATAAAGAGCTAAATCTTGGTTGTGACCCATAAACAAGCCTAGCATACTTAGACTCCTGCCTGCACCTCTGGTTCTATCTCCCCTCTCTTTAAAACTTCTAGTTATGCTAATCTTCCTTTATAGTTTCTAGAACCTTTAAGGTCCCTTCTGCTGTTTGGGTAATGTTCTCTCTGTCTGGAATTATCTTCCCTCTCTATCTGTTGAATTGTAACCCAGATTTCTCTGGAGAAACCTCCCCTGACATCCCTGCTGGGCTCCCCCTCCCATTTCCTCATCAGGTCAGATCCCCCTATTACTCTTTTATGATACTGTATATCTTACCTTTAGAGAATTTGTAGGTTGTCCTTATCTGTTTGATGTGTGTCTAGTAACCTCTTTGGAGGCAAGTACTAGCACTGTTTCACCCATTGTTGTGTTCTGAGCATTGAGAACAGTAACTGGCACATGGTACCCAATGAATGTGATGAATGAATGAATGTTATATTGTAGTGTAATGTGTTTGCATGCTTGTCTTTATTGACCTCAGGGATTCTTGAGAGAAAACAGCATGCTTTTTAAGTGATTTTTGGATCACTGTACATTACATGGTACCTGGCACATAATAGGTGCTCCACTAACCATATGTGGATTGAATAACTTTGCAGTGTCTGTATTATCTTAACAATCACAAAAGAATTTTGACATCTCAGTTTTTTTCACTGAAGTCTTAACAATGTGAGAATTTTGGAGCTAGAAGGGACATTAGAGATTATTGGGTCAGCTCTCATTTCTACATGAGGAAAATCAAGTCCAGAGAGCTAAAAGAGTCTCGTTTCATAGCCAGGTAAGGGATAGGATCTGGGCAGAAACCCAGATCTTCAGATTCCTAGCTCACTGTTGCACATTGCTTTCTTTAGCATCTATTCAACTGTTGAGAAGTTTAAAAAGAAATATATATTGGGCTGGCTTGGCCAAAAAGTTCATTCTGGTTTGTCCGTAAGATGTTACAGGTATATATATAACACAAACACATGCACTCGAGTGATTTTTTAATTTCATTCTTCTGGAAATTTTCTTCCTAGCTGAAAATTAAAAGAGCTAATATTTGTTTTGCAGTTATATTCCAGTCACCATTCCTACATTCTGTGTGTCAGATAATGCTACCATATTATAGATGGAGACGTGGAAGCACAGGAAGTTAAGCAGCTTTCCTAAGTTTATACAGCTAGTAAGTAGTAGGGTCCAGATTTGAATCCAGGCAGTCTGATTGTTCTCCTAATTAATGCTGTTCAGGAGCAGTACTCTTGCCTGGAAAACCCCATGGACGGAGGAGCCTGGTAGGCCACAGTCCATGGGGTCGCGAAGAGTCAGACATGACTGAGCGACTTCACTTTCACTTTTCACTTTCATGCATTGGAGAAGGAAATGGCAACCCACTCCAGTGTTCTTGCCTGGAGAATCCCAGGGACGGGGGAGCCTGGTGGACTGCCATCTGCGGGGTCGCACAGAGTCGGACAGGACTGAAGCAACTTAGCAGCAGCAGGAGCAGATCTGAGATCATTATGGTTTATATTCACTGTTATTTTAATATATAATAAAAATCATATTCATTAGGTGTCTGGATGGTATTGGATATTTAGATTTTTAATGTTCTGTGATGGAAAATGTAAGTAAGATTTACTCTTAACAAATAGTAAAATGGTACATGGAAGTATGCCAGAGAATGTTTTCAATCAGATATATTGGTGAGTTCAAATAAAATAATAGGAAGCATTCAATATTCATTCCTATTCAGCAGGAAGGATATTGTTATGTGTAGAATCAAGACATGAAATAAGTCATTCACAATTTAAAGACTGAATGGAAAACTGGAAACATAAGAGGAAGAGCTCACTGTATTTGAGATAAAATGTTTAAAAACAGTCCCTCTCACAATAACCCCCGAAATAAAATTATTTTGTCTTTCATAAAGTCAGATACTAGAATATTTATAGACTTGTGTGGTGATGGCTTATTATTATTGTAACTAAAAGTTCCATGAATCTTAACTGCCCTTTATCAATCTTTATTCTGGGAAATTTGACTTTCTTCTAATCTTTTTGCTATTATTTGATTACTAGGATCAAGCAGAACAGTTCTTTAGAAGTGGCCATACAAACAACTGGGCAGTTTTGGTAAGTATTCTATAAAGGTTTACCTTGTTTACATTAGATATGTGTCAGAAATTTTGTGTGAATCAAATTCTTAAGAATAAAATTTATTTCTTGTAACAAATTATATTAAAATTATATTTTAAATTGGCCACATCAACTAATAATATTCTTTGCTTTCAATATATCTGTCAAGTGGTGATGTATAAAAAATAGATAAGCTAGAGATCCTGTTGTTAAAGGAAGTATTTTATGAAGTATAGTGGTATTTTAATGACAGAAACTAATAGCTTACATTGAATATTTCTTATCTATAATGTTAGTTTATAGAAACTCTCTACTTTGGCTATTTTCTTAAAAATTTTTTGTTTACAAAAATAAATGATCATTGTAGAAAATTCAAGTTATACAGAAACGTTTAGAAGAAGACAGACTAATTTTATGTTATTGTGATTAAATAGAATAGTAACATGTCTCATGACTCATTTTCTTGTTCAGGTTCATGACTCATTTTCTTGTTCTTCAGGAACAAATACCTTTCATATGCTACTCTCATAAGAGGTTTTATAAAGGAATTGAACAAAAGCTGCTCATGATAAGAAGGTTTTAGTGATCACTTAAATTGGGCAAAATTGTGAGGTAGCAGGCCATGATCCACCAGTTTGAGAAGATAAACTTGTTTTGTAGAAAACTAAAGTGTTAGTCACTCAGTCGTGCCTGACTCTTTGTGACCGCATGGACTGTGGCTCACCAGGCTCCTCTCTCCATGGGATTTTCCAGGCAAGAATAGTGGAGTGGGTTGCCATTTCCTTCTCCAGGGGATCTTCCCTACCTGGGAATGAACCTGGGTCTCCCACATTGCAGGCAGATTCTTTACTCTCTGAGCCACCAGGGAAGTGTAGGAAACTTAAGAGCACTTCCAGTTAGTCTCTCTGTGGAAATTCTTAAAAGAGGGAATAACTGCCTATGTGCAGACAGCTAATTTCCAGAAGGCTCCTTTAGAATAGAAGACTGTTAGCTTATACCACACACACATTAAATTCTTCCTTGTTCTGGGAACTTCCATGTTCTTGACACTGAGCCCCTTTCTAATCTCAGCAACCTGGGTCTCCGTAGAGAAACTGAGGGTGAAAAAGAATTACCACTGAGTATTTCACAACTGCTGTTTGCATATTTGTGCAAATATGTTACCATTAATGCTTCCCTGGTGCTCGGATGGTAAAGAATCTACCAGCAATGCTACTGGGGAGACCTGGGTTTGATCCCTCCGTTGGGAAGATCCCCTGGAGAAGGGAATGGCCACCCACTCCAGTATTCTTACCTGGAAAGTTTCATGGGCAGAGGGGCCTGGTGGGCTACAGTCTATAGGGTCACAAAGAATCGGACATGACTGAGTGACTAACACTTTTATGTGTTAACTCAGGTTTACTAGAGTGAGACTTCAGTAAATTGTACTTTCTTAAATGGAAAATTATGAAATTTGACCAGGAAGGGCCAAGTTGAAAGTATAAAACATACGTTTCTCTCAATATTATTTAATTCAAATTATATATATACACACAAACACACACACATGTGTGTGTGTATATTCCAACCGCCGCCGCCCCCCCCCCCCGCCCCACAGTTTGAGTTAGTTTTAGCCTTGACTGGATGGTCAGAGGTAAATGAAATGCCCCTTTGCTCTTGTAATATGACTGAGAAAACTTGCCACCAGAGGGAGATAGAAGAAAATTGGATTCCATTTTAGTTTCAGAATCTGCTTTGAATAAAACATTTTTGTCTCTGTTTAATAAAAAAGTTATATAATCTGTACTCATGGTGAAAAAAGTAATACTGATGGGTAATGATTTTGTTTCTACCCTTTTTGGTTTTGAGTTTTGCTAATATAGGCAATAGTATAGTGAAAATCCTTGAATACCTGTTTTTGCATGCTTCAGTTCAGTTCAGTCGCTCAGTTGTGTCTGATCCTTTGCGACCCCATGGACTGCAGTATGCCAGGCTTCCCTGTCCATCACTAACTCCTGGAGCTTACTCGAACTCATATCCATTGAGGCGGTGATGCCATCCAACCATTTCATTGTCTGGTGTCCCTTTTTCCTGCCTTCAATCATTCCCAGCATCAGGGTCTTTTCCAATGAGTCAGTTCTTCGCATCAGGTGGCCAAAGTATTGGAGTTTCAGCTTCAGCATCAGTCCTTCCAATGAATATTCAGGACTGATTTCCTCTAGGATAGAATGGTTGGATCTCCTTGCTGTCCAAGGGACTCTCAAGAGTCTTCTCCAATACCACAGTTCAAAAGCATCAGTTCTTTGGTGCTCAGCTCTTTATAGTCCAGCTCTCACATCTATAGATGACTACTAGAAAAACCAAACTTTGACTAGATGGACCTTTGTCGGCAAAGTAATGTCTCTGCTTTTTAATATGCTGTCTAGATTGATCATAACTTTTCTTCCAAGGAGCAAGCATATTTTAACTTCATGGCTGCAGTTACCATCTGCAGTGATTTTGGAGCCCAAAAAGTTAAAGTCTGTCACTGTTTCCATTGTTTCCCCATCTATTTGCTATGATGTGATGGGACCAGATGCCATGGTGTTAGTTTTCTGAATGTTGAATTTTAAACCAACTTTTTCACTCTCCTCTTTCACTTTCATCAAGATGCTCTTTAGTCCTACACTTTCTGACATAAGGGTGGTGTCATCTGCATATCTGAAGTTATTGATATTTCTCCCAGCAGTCTTGATTCCAGCTTGTGCTTCATCCAGTCCAGCATTTCTCATGATGGACTCTGTATATAAGTTAAATGAGCAGGGTGACAGTATACAGCCTTGAGTACTTCTTTTCCTATTTGGAACCAGTCTGTTGTTCCCTGTCCAGTTCTAACTGTTTCTTCTTGACCTGCATACAGGTCTCTCAGGAGGCAGATAAGGCGGTCTGGTATTCCCATCTCTTTAAGAATTTTCCAGTTTGTTATGATCCACACAGTCAAAGGCTTTGGCATAGTCAATAAAGCAGAAATAGATGTTTTTCTGGAACTCTCTTGCTTTTTCAGTGATCCAGTGGATGTTGGCAATTTGATCTCTGGTTCTTCTGCCTTTTCTAATGCCAGCTTGAACATCTGTTCAAGGCTCATGTACTGTTGAAGCCTGACTTGGAGAATTATGAGCATTACTTTGCCAGTGTGTGAGATGAGTGCTGTTGTGTGGTTGTTTGAACATTCTTTAGCATTGCCTGTCTTTGGGATTGGAATGAAAACTGACCTTTTCCAGTCCTGTGGCCACTGCTGAGTTTTCCAAATTTGCTGGCATATTGAGCTCAGCACTTCCACAGCATCATCTTTTAGGATTTGAAATAGCTCAACTGGAATTCCATCACCTCCACTAGCTTTGTTCATAGTGACACTTCCTAAGGCCCACTTGACTTTGCATTCCAGGGTGTCTGGCTCTAGGTGAGTGATCACACCATTGTGATTATCTGGATCATGAAGATCTTTTTTGAATGGTTCTTCTGTGTATTCTTGCCACCTCTTCTTTTTTTTTTTTTTTTGCCACCTCTTCTTAATATCTTCTGCTTCTGTTAGGTCCATACCGTTTCTGTCCTTCATTGTGCACATCTTTGTATGAAATGTTCCCTTGATATCTCTAATTTTCTTGAAGAGATCTCTAGTCTGTCCCATTCTATTGTTTTCCTCTGTTTCTTTGCATTGATCACTGATCATTGATTTTGCATGCTTATATGAGCTAAATAAAAAAATAAGTACATTTTAAAACTTGGTATGCAAATTACCCTCTTAGAAGGTTTATATTAGTTTACCTTCCCATAAGTAGGATATGAGTGTTCATTCACCACAGCCTTGCCAATAATATGAATTGTCAGGCTTTTGGATGGTTATCAATTTATGTTTTTAAAATTATGGCAGACAATGAGCATTGTTAAAAGTTTCACTGTCCATTTTTAAGACCTTTGTTATGAAATGCTTGGTCTCATCCTTTGCATTTTAGAATGCAGTTGTTCATCTTATTAAGTTATAATTATTTCAAGTTTTTCATTTCTGTTAGGATTATATGGTACGTTTTTCTTTAATGTAGTCAACAATTTTAGTGCTTTCCTTATTGGATTCCGGGTTGAAAATTCATTGTAGTGAAAAAGGCTTGTCATTCCTTTTCACTTGCAGGGGCAAGAACGTTTGTGATGTTATCTGTCATTACACTTAAACCTTCAGTAGAAGTATGTGATAGGAGGTAGGATGCTTAGCAAGTAGGTACACTACCAACTAACCCCAGTCTCTGGTTTTTCCTTTGGAATTGATGCTCGAGAGGGCTGACTTCTGAGGCACTGCGTTAGATTTTCTTCGTATCCTTGGTATCTTTTTTAGGGATCATTTGTTTTTTTTTAAGTGTAAAGTTTGTTGGAATCATTTCTGGTTTTCTTTTCAGTTCAACAGCTTCTTTATGATGCATTCTCTTATGTGCATATAAAATCATTTTCTGTGCTCTGTTTTTATCTCTATCTTACATTTTTCACAACTAAAATTAGGAAGCTATCCAGAGTGAAAGGAATAGTATATAACTCAGTGTAGTTAATTTTCTCTTCTATTCTGTGATGAGATTATGTTCCTTGTCTTGGATTCTAAAGAATTTAATATTTTAGGAATAAGAGAGTTATAGGATCACATAAATTGAGAGTAACTAAGTTGATTCAGTATTTGATTAAATTCCACAAAGATTTGTTTTCTCTTAAGCCGAATAGTTTTTTAACTTTAAGACCAGTTATGAAAGACCTCTTTTTAGGGAGGTTGGTTTTATTGACAGTTCTTCAGGTGCTTTGCTGTTTGTAGGCCTGATTATGATACACTTTTTAGGCATCGCTATATCCTACTTAAACAGAAGTAATTTTGTAACTCTAGTTTATTTTGATTCCTACAAATAATATATTTGTTTTGATACTTTAGGTTTGTACCTCCAGATTCTGGTTTAATTATCGACATGTTGCAAATACTCTTTCTGTTTATAGAAGTGTCAAGAGGCTAGGTATTCCTGACAGGTAAGAATTCTTAATAAAGCTTAACTCTGAATCTCAGTGAAAATTGCCTTTAGATGACTGTTATTATATTTGTGTATTTGTGTTGTTTTTGAAAAATATAAAGAAACCTAATTTGAAGTTATTTTGTTATTGTTACAGCACACTGTCATGTATAAAGTAGTTTTAAGACTATAATGGCAAATTATATAAAACAGCAATCAATAAATACTAAGGTAGGAAGATTTAATAAAATATAATTGTTTAGTGTCCCTTATTTAATTATTCAGTGCCTCAGTCTGGGTCTAATTGTAGGTAACAGAAGGCAATTCTGACTGATTCAAGTAGAAAAGGTATTTATTGAAAACATATTGATTAGTTTACCAATTTGCTGGGAGGGTTGAGCGCTTGAAGCCAGGAACAAGAGAGACTATGTAACAGAAAAGGCGTATCTGAAAATCATAGCATAAAACCAGTCTGATGACAGGAATGGAGCCTTGAATTGCTGAAGGCTAGACTCAGCTACCACACAGCCGCCACCGTTGCCTTTGGAAACTTAATGCTGCTACTGCTGCCACAGTCTGACCTTTGTTGTCCCGGTTTCTTACCATCTCCAGCTTTTAATTTAGAGTGCTTGATGGGAATGTCATGTTGGCAGAGCATAGATTAGGTGCCCATGTCCATGCTGCAGGGGTGACAGGAAGAATGACTGTGGCATTGTTGGCTTCTGAATAGGGAGGGGGCCTCTGCCCTCTGTGAAGACTCGTAAAGTGGTGTGTTCCCTAATTGTATAAGGGAGCTCAGGTACTAAGCAGAGCTTCCACACCTCCACCCCCAAATATCTGTCCTCCACCTTTGGTTTGTCAGATATGGTAGATCTATTTTAGCTACTTTGGAAGCAGTTATAGAAGAAACTGCAGTCAGTTTGGTTACCTAGGTGTGATTCATCTAGTCCTCTGGTTCCTCTCTACCATGTGAAGCAGTGTGGAAAGAGCTTTGCAGTTAGATCTGAGTTTGAAATCTGGGTTCAGTGGTTCAGTGGTGATTTTGATTAGTCACTTTGCCATACTAAGCCTGTTTCCTTGGCTATTACCTGGTGATGGTACCACCTTCTTTGCAGGACTTAGGTACTTAAAGTGAATAGAAATATGTATGCAGGAGCAGAAAGGAAGCAGTGCATGACTCAAGAAACAAATTTACAGTCTATGTCAATAGATCATCTTAACCTAACAAGCTGACAACTATTGCCTATAAAAGTAACTATAATTTAATTCCTGTATTTCATCTGGAAATTAAGACATCTTGGTAATATCACTTTTAAAAAGTACATTAGGTCTGAGAAAGGATGATTTGTTATATCAAGTATAATAATTATTCTTGTCATTAGCTGATTACTATAATTTGTTCTCTTCAAATAGATGTATGTGTTTAGTCTGTTGATTTTTAACTGCTATTTCTTCCATACCAAACGTGCTCCTCCAGGGAATTACTATGCATTATTTGGCAGTAGGTTTCACTTTGGTAAATGAGTCTTTGTCCTGTCTATTATTCATTTGTTGTTGTTTAGTTGCTAAGTCATGTCTGATTCTCTTGCAATCCCGTGGACTGTACCTGCCAGTCTGCTTTGTCCATAGGCTCTCCCAGGCAAGAATACTGGAGTGGTTTGCCGTTCTGTTCTCTAGGGGATCTTTCTGACCCAGGGATCAAACCCACATCTTCTGCGTTGGCAGGTGGACTCTTTATCCCTGAGTGACATGGGAAGCCCCTTATAAGTCATTAGGTGTGTGTATTTTTTTTTAATGATTTAAGTTTTAGAAGGACTGAACTGTACAAAAAAGATCTTCATGACCCAGATAATCACGATGGTGTGATCACTTACCTAGAGCAGGACATCCTGGAATGTGAAGTCAAGTGGGCCTTAGGAAGCATCACTGTGAGCAAAGCTAGTAGAGGTGATGGAATTCCAGTTGAGCTGTTTCAAATCCTGAAAAATGATGCTGTGAAATTGCTGCACTTAATATGTCAGCAAATTTGGAAAACTCAGCGGTGGCCACAGGATTGGAAAAGGTCAGTTTTCATTCCAATCCCAAAGGAAGGCAATGCCAAAGAACGTTCAAACTGCTGCGCAATTGCACTCATCGCACATGCTAGTAAAGTAATGCTCAAAATTCTCCAAGCCAGGCTTCAGCAATACGTGAACCGAGAACTTCCAGATGTTCAAGCTGGTTTTAGAAAAGGCAGAGGAACCAGAGATCAAATTGCCAACATCCGCTGGATCATTGAAAAAGCAAGAGTTCCAGAAAAATATGTATTTCTGCTTTATTGACTATGCCAAAGCCTTCGACTGTGTGGATCACAATAAACTGTGGAAAATTCTGAAGGAGATGGGAATACCAGACCACCTGACCTGCCTCTTGAGAAACCTGTATGCAAGTCAGGAAGCAACAGTTAGAACTGGACGTGAAACAACAGACTGGTTCCAAATAAGAAAAGGAGTACGTCAAGGCTGTATACTGTCACCCTGCTTATTTAACTTAGATGCAGAGTACATCATGAGAAACGCTGGACTGGATGAAGCACAAGCTGGAATCAAGATTGCCGGGAGAAATATCAATAACCTCAGATATGAAGATGTTACCGCCCTTACAGCAGAAAGTGAAGGAGAACTAAAGAGTCTCTTGATAAAAGTGAAAGAAGAGAGTGAAAAAGTTGGCTTAAAGCTCAACATTCAGAAAACTAAGATCATGGCATCTGGTCCCATCACCTCATGGCAAATAGATGGGGAAACAGCAAAAACAGTGGCTGGTTGACTTTATTTTTTTGGGCTCCAAAGTAACTGCAGATGGTGATTGCAGCCATGAAATTAAAAGATGCTTATTCCTTGGAAGGAAAGTTATGACCAACCTAGGCATCATATTAAAAAGCAGAGACATTACTTTGCCAACAAAGGTCCATCTAGTCAAGGCTATGGCTTTTCCAGTAGTCATGTATGGATGTGAGAGCTGGACTAAAAAGAAAGCCTTTTAAAGTAAGCTTTTAAAAAGAGTGCTGAAGAATTGATGCTTTTGAACTGTGGTGTTGGAGAAGACTCTTGAGAGTCCCTTGGACTGCAAGGAGATCCAACCAGTCCATCCTAAAGGAAATCAGTCCTGGGTGTTCATTGGAAAGACTGATGTTGAAGCTGAAGCTCCAATGTTTTGGCCACCTGATGCGAAGAGCTGACTCATTTGAACAGTCCCCGATGTTGGGAAAGATTGAAGGCAGGAGGAGAAGGGGATGACAGAGGATGAGGTGGTTGGATGGCATCACCGACTCAATGGACATGAGTTTGGGTAGACTCTGGAAGTTGGTGATGGACAGGGAGGCCTGGTGTGCTGCGGTTCATGGGGTTGCAAAGAATGGGACATGATTGAGCAACTGAACTGAACTGAACTGAAGGTTTAAATGGTTTAAGTTTTAGAAGAATTTAAGCTTTAGAAGGACTTCTTAGAAACAGAATATAACCATAGGGTGTATTTTATATATTAGATTTTCCCCAGCGTTTCTGAAGAATTTTCTTATTCTTGTTTCAGATGCTTTCCTTTCTATATCTTTGATTATGAAGTCTTTGTTGGGGAATGAATTTCGGATTTAGATAGTTGATGATTTGAACTATTTGTTGCTTAGTCAACAGAGATCAATGGAATAGATTCTTTTTGACTTTTAACCTATTATGGTGAATATTCTTCTTCCTGATGACTTATTCCTGCTTTACTTCTACCTGGAATTAGGTAAATTATAAGTAATTTATGATTATAAGTAAATTTTAGTCAGAAAGTAATATGCTATTATGAAATAATAGTCTGGAAACTTAAAATCATTAAGAGCAGTTTTCAGTTTTAATGCTGGAATTTCAAAATACTGTTTGAATTTATTTTGTACTTTAATGAACATTTTTAACTTAAAGCTGTATAATCCTGTGTATCCTGAGAAAAATGACCAGTCACTGCATTGAATAAAAATTATAACTGTGTTTTGTTTACCCTGTTTGCTTTTTTAAAGGAGGATTTTGCTTTGTCTTTTAATGCAAAACATTTGCATTTAGGTTTTCCGTATACCTTCAGTAAGAAACTAGTTCATGTCAGAAGTCATTTCCCAAAACATATGACGTAGACGATTGCCCTTTATTGCAGAAGTTCGCATCAATTCCTTAGAACCTGTTTGAAATATCACATTAGTTGTATCAGTACTCTTGTTCTGATTTCTCTTTGATTTTCTGTCTGTATTTCACTTACTCTGATTGTACTGAGATATTCTCTCTGCCTGGAATAGTTGTCTATATACTTCTGGCTCACTGCTAACAAAACCTGGCTGTGATTCTGAATCACTTATGGTACTTGCTGAAAATACTGATTCTTCAGCTTCACCCCTGGAGAGTCTAATTCACTAAATCTGAAGTGAATCCTAGACATCAACTTTATATGTGGTTCTGTGCATAATCAAGTTAGAAAGCACAGCTGTAGCTTTTACCTGACCTTCCAAATTCACTTTAATACTTCTTCAAAAAAGCATTTCCTAACCTTCTTGTTTGCTTTCATAGTATCCTTTGTATGTACTTTGATTATAACATGGTTAACTAATTATAGTGTCTCCATTATTAGATTATTAACTCCCTGAAGGGAACAAGGATTATATTTTATTTCACTTTGTACTTATAGCATCCAGCACAGTGCCTGGATAGTAGGTGCTCAGTAGATGTTGGATAAATTAACTTGTGATTTGGAAATACTTTACCCAGTTCAGTTCAGTTCAGTCGCTCAGTTGTGTCTGACTCTTTGTGACCCGATGGACTGCAGCATGCCAGGTCTCCCTGCCCATCCCCAACTCCCAGAGTTTACTCAAACTCATGTCCATTGAGTTGGGGATGCCACCCAACCATCTCATCCTCTGTTGTCCTCTTCTTCTCCTGCCTTTAGTCTTTCCCAGCATCAGGGTCTTTTCAAATGAGTCAGCTCTTCGCATCAGTTGGCCAAAGTATTAACCAG